TACCTGTGAGATTATCGAAGACAAAGGACAGACACTTGCTAATTTTTGAAAGAAATCTAACGAAACCCTAACATAGAGAAGGTTGAGAGAAAAGAAGTTTCTTACCAGAAATATGGTATTAAGCAGTGACAATGATGAGAATACAAAGCCACAACACCAACCCCTTATAATATCCCTGAATGCTAATATTAGTTACGGGCTGAAGTAGGTCTTTCTTTTTTTTTTTTTTTTTTTTTTTTTTAGGGACTTAAAAAAGAAAAAACTCTACTAATATATTTTTTTCTGTTAATTTTAAAAATATAATTATTAATTAATAATTTAAAATATTTTTAATTAAAATTTATTTAATAGTTAATAGAAATAATATAAAAAAATATTTTTACTTTAAAAAAATAAATACTTTATATTTTATATAAATGAATTTTGAGCTTAAATTTTTGTTAAAAGTTAAGCTTATTTTGTAAAAATAATTGTAATTTTTATGTTTAAACACATGAATCAATATTTTGTTAGTTTCTTAGGGTGGAAGTCTATTGTTATACCTATACTTGTTTTAAATAGATTATCTCGTTAAATTAATTTAGTTTCTGTAAATGTAAATTTGTATCAACAATTTGTTGGTGAACTTTTTTATTTTATCAATGCACGACTTGATATTTGTCATGCAACTCAGTAATTATTTTAATTTTTAGATTCTCTTATACAACAATATTATAAATTGTACGTAAAATCTTATGATATCTGAAAAGCATGTCTGGACATGAATTATTTATCATATTTAAAATTTTTTACATTTAATAATTTTAATTGAGTTTCTTATTTTCGTAAATTTATAATTGAATTTTGTGTATTTCTTAGAAAAGCTCTTGTGTCTTGAAAATCTAAGAAACAACATATATTTTCATGTTTATTTTAAGTTTCCTCTAAAAACCGATGTTCTATGTTGTGACAATTTATATACTATTAAGATCGTTAAAAATTCAATTTTTTATAGATATACAAGGTACATTGAGATTAATTATCATCTTATTCGCTAGAAATTTGCTGATAAACTAATTTATCTATTATATGTTCATTCTTTTCATTAACTACTATATATTTTACCAAATCAGTTATAGCATCTATTTTTTAGTATGCTTGATTTATAATCAAGTTCGGTATATTAAATTTGTACATTCCATTTTTATGAGAGCTATCAAAAAAGTATTATTATTTAGTTAATTAGTTATTAATAAATTGTTAGCTCTCTCTCTCTCTCTATCTCTTGTTAATCATTCATCAATTCTAACTTTAAGCAAGTTTAAAATTAAGAGAGGTATATATAAGAATAGGAAAGGTTTTAAAGAAGAAAAGAATTAATAGATGGATATATATATAACATAATGTATAGTATAATTCAAATTGAATTTAGGCAATTCAAACTTCGAATTGAATACTTGGAATTTACAAGATCCTAAAGAAAAAACTTACTTATCATTAAGCTGTTAGGTATGTGTCCCCAAATAATGTGATTTAAATTTTATCTTTAACTTTTTATTATAATTTTCACACTTAATTTATAATTAAATTAGTATTTTAATATCTTTTTACTAATTGTGTAAAAGATTTAGAGTTTCGGATTTAATTATAATCATTTTATTAATTAAAAATTTATTTTTGCAGTTTGGACATATATATTAAATTATTATTAAAATATAGTGTTAAATTTTCAATAAAATACAAAAATATTACCAATATTTTATACAAAGGTTCCCAACACAAATTCATTATAGATATTTTTAGCTTACTTACTAACATGACAATTTGTAAACCATGTAGTACATTTGCCTTCTTCCTCTTTTTTGACCAAATATTATGCCAGTCTTAGCTTTAAAAGAGAATTAATATCTCGAGGAAAAAAAACTTTCACATATGGGTTATCCTCTGCACGAGATAAAAATTTGTATTTTGAATATTTCTTTAAGGATAATTTTGATAGAGATTATGATGATTGACGCAACCTAACTAGTTTTATGAACTTTTTTGGAACTTGTTTAGTATCGCTAATGACGAAAAATATTTTATTATGACTCAAAATATAAAGTAATTAATTAATACCATTGTTGAATTATATTAGATTAACTTTCTTTCTTAAAAATAGTTTTTTAACTATTTACCATGCCAATGTTGTTGTGTGATAACATTAGAGTAACTTCCCTAATTGCTCAATTTTATTCTTCATGCTCGAAAAAAAAAATATATATATTGGACCGAATTATCATCTTATAAGAGAAGAAACTGTGTATTCTACTACTATCGAGCGACAACTAAATTGGTCATATTTTCATGAAACTTTTTTCTTTGCGAGAGTTTATCTATATACGAGACAACTCTCTTCATTACCCAATCAGCTTGGTACAGAGTGCAAATATTGAGGATTAAAATCCAAATAAAACTCAAAGAAGAGTCATAATATTCACACAAGATAATTAAACAAGTCAAAATAAAACAAACTAAAAGAAAAATAAACAAAATGAAAACAACAACTTGTTGTGTTTTAGTATGCAAAGGACTTACATCCACTATCTTTATTTTTACTAGGTAATGATTTAAAACTCGTTAGTGAAATGAGTATCACAAGATATGTGATAGTCAAAAACTACAAGTGATACTTGTTCAATTGCTGAGATAGAGATAGAAGCAAAAGAACTACATTTTCAATGGCTTATACTCTCTATATTTTCTAAAGTTTGAGGCTCTCATCAAACTCAGAATAGCACTTTTTAAGATAAAAAATTGAAGAGGGGAATCATTTTACTGTATCCTCTCATTTCATACCTCATTTTTGTAGCTCTTTTGATTTGTAAAAGGGAGATTCTCATTATCAAAACTATGGGAAGGACCTATCCCAAGAAACCCACGAAATGTGAAGTAACACTAATAACTATCTCCTCATTCTCCAAAATTAGCTTCCAGTACAAAGGTAAACACAGTTTACATCAAAGTTTCTCAGCATAGAAACAGCAGTAACCTTCTTCACTGAATTTCCACCATAAGCTCCAATGTGTAGCAACACTATCTTATTCTTTCTTTTGTACCTTTGATCTGCTTGAATATATTATTGCTGTATATATATATCTCATTAGCACTTAATTTTTTGTTTGCTGTTCACTTGGTTTGCCGTAATTAGAGCATGCAAGGAAGAGATCTGCTTGGTATCCAGGCTGATCTTAATCATTCTCTTCAGCCTTCGTAGGGTTTTTCAATGGGAAAAAGTACTAAAAGGAGAAAAGAAGAAACTGGGAAGTAGAGAAGTTAATGAGAAGAAGATACCATTTCTGCACTCAAAAACATACAGATTTTATTTAATTAAAGAAAAGTAGTAAACTTTCAAGTGTTCTATCAAATGGGTTTTCTTTATATCTCATATTATTACTAACATTAGGGATTCCAGAAGCAATTCTGCTACTGGGTTTCTGATCAAAGATGAACTTGAGAAAGTAAATAGATTTCAAAGTTGATCGGAGAAAAGAACATTACAGATCCTTTTTTTTTTTTCTTTTAATTAACAGAGGGAAAAAAAAAAAAAAAGTGGAATCCAAGTATAGTTTCGAAAAACGCTAAATGGGATTTCCTTATCAGAAAAGAACATTACAGATCCAAGTATTTTATAAAGAAAGCAGAAATTGAAAAGGGTTTTTCAAGAAGGATGAACCTTGCGAGAAGAAATCCCTTTAAAAGCAGCTTTCATGGATGCAGTTGCAGAGCTGAGAGCAGCCTCCATGTATTTTTTTGAAGCAATAGTTGCAGCCTTTTCCATGAAATCACCCATCTTCCTCGCCTTCTCACCAGTTTCCACCAAACTCTCCATTTCCGCCTTGCAGAGACGCTCCATCTCCTCCTCGAACCGTCTGAACTCGTCCATGGCGGCCTCCATGGCTGAATCCAGATGCTCCTCGGCTTCTTGGAGGGAGATCTGGGCCTCGTGCGCCTCTTTTTCCTGCTCGAGTTCCAGCGCCGCCCAGGACCTGTAGGCTTCGATCTCGAAGAGCTTCATCAGGTCTTCAATGGCGGATGGGTCGAAGTTCTTGTCGTGTAAAGCCTGGTCTGATAGGAAAGTGAATTGGGAGATGAGAGCTTCCATTTTTGGTCAGTTTGTATCAATCAGCGGAGTGGTAAACCGGTGCAGTGATAAAGATAAAGCATTAGATTCTTCTTCTACTCCACGAACGTAAATCAGATTCCCTCATTTATCTGTTATTAAGCATGATTAAATAAATATGAATAATTGAGAGAATGTCCCCAGTCAAATTATAATTTTTTTAATATTTTAATTGTTGAGGTTAATATATAAATATTTAAATTATTAATTTTGACAGTAAAGTGGTTTATGAGTTGTCGTCGGGGATGTGGATAACGTCGTTATCTTCGTTCTTCGAAGAATTGAGTGGACGGTGGGGCCCATCCATGACTTTTAAATGTTATATTTTAAAATTGTCCGTAAAGCCGGAGGTATTTGGAACATTTTCCAAAACGTCACCGTATAACGTTTCTGCTTCTCAGTGGAATCTTTTTCTCTCCGCGGCTTAAATACGAAATAATCCTATTTCAATTATATTATATTATTTGTATGTCGAATGTAATTGGAGATTTATTAAAGTCTATTTTAAATTGGGCTCGCATTATCAGGACTTGAAACCGGCCCATGGGCCGCCAATCCAAACTCAACGAACCAGTTCAAAAGATCCAAGCTCTGAATACCTTCTTCACCGATCTCGACAAGTCACGGAGTACACATCACAAGGAAACCAGAGCCGGAACAAGGGAGGGAGAGGTGTACGACAGATGGGGAAGAGGAAAGGAGAAATGATGTACACGTTCTTGTTATTCTTGACCACGTCGGCCATGGTCAGCGAAGCCATCTGGTTAAATCTTCCGTCTTCTGGAACCAAGTGCGTCTCCGAGGAAATCCAGAACAACGTCGTCGTTTTGGCCGACTATCTCGTTATCTCTGAGGATCATTCCTTCCTCCCTAGCATCTCCATCAAGGTGTGCTGTTGTGAATTCTCGCTTGTTCCTTCTAATTCACTTGTTTTAGTCCCATTTTCTTCATGATCTGTAAGTGTGTCGGATCTGCTAGGTTTTGTTGCTATAGATTTTGTTTTAAGATTAATTGAAAAGCTTGGATGGAAGAGTATCGCATGCTTTAATTTTGAATTTCTTCTGGTTCCATCAATACTTTGATTGTTTAATCTCGTTTGATCAAGTCCTGTTTGGTTGTTCTGAGTTTGGGAACATATCTTGTGGATTTTCATGTTGACGAGATTGTTACTAAATTTAGTCGTTGTAGTAGGAGATGATCCTCCTCTTCGCAAATATATATAGAGTAGAGGAACTTCAGTTTCTCGCCAATGTATTGACAACAGTTGTCTTAACAAAAGTCGAGCTTGAGCAATTCTCAAAATTTGCAGCTTCGAGCTTCCGAAAACCTCAAAACCAAGATTCTGGTTGATAGTGTAGCTCTTGCTTAATGAAATATTTTGCCTTTTTGGTTTCATTCAATTCAATTCTTGTTCCTTTTCATTAAATTAATAAATCATGCATGAATTTTATGTGTAATCTTAATAATTGAACAATAATCTGATGGGAAGTAAATTGAAACGAATGGGTATTGATTCTATTGACTAAGAGGAAAGGTATTCTAATCTAGTAGCTGAAGAAGACCATGACATACTGTCGCATATGCTTTTTTTTTTTGGTTTATATTCATACTGGGGGTCTGCCGATTTTTCAGGAGCCTGCACCAGTCGTGTTGTGTGTGTTACTTGATATGACTTGCTGTTAGATGGTCAGATGGTGAATAACCTCTTACTTATTTGAGTCTACGCTATAGGTCAGAAACAAGGAGTTTATGATGTAGAAATAATAGTTTGTAGAAATATATTCATATGTTTGTTGAATAAAAGCTGGATGTAGTTGTTGCTGTGTGTTTACTAGTCGTTTCCAAATTAAGGACTTTAAGCTGAACAAGAATATTGGTATTCATCTAGTTTTCATAGTCATCATTTGCAGTTTACATACTGACCAGTAGATTGTCAAAAGACCTAACGAGACAATTTTCGGAGACTTCATCTAGAGACCTGCTTTGATATGAACCATATATGATAATATTTTATTGTTCCATCGCATATTTTCTTTTAGATTACCTCTCTCTGCTATGTTATTGCATAAAAATTTAATATCGAATATTCTAGTGGATATATTATGTATGATCTGATGAAAAGAATCTAGTCTTTAGAATAGATGTATTGTGCTCAGCAAGTCTACAAGATGTTGTGAACTTCTTGAAATTGTACTAAAGTGTGTTAGGATTTGGCAACCTAACTACTTCCTTCTAGTTCCAGACAAAATGACTTATATTTATTGGTATTTCCTCAAACATTGTGATAGATGGAACAGGGATGTCTGAATCTTTAGTTGGATGTGGCAACAACTAATTTTTCCTTAAAAATAGTTTATTAACAATTAAATAGTCTATCTCATTTCTAAATGCAGCCTTGAAATTTATATTTCATAATCTATCGATGAAAGAATTTAAGATTGCTTTGGCATGCCAGAACATGCTCTCTTTTTCCTTTTCTTTTAGTCGATCTGGTTGTTAGTGTCCTTCCTCTTTTGTCTAGCTGACAGCTTTTCCCAGAAAAGGAAATTATAGTCTTTTTACGGCTACATCTGTTAGTGTTTGTTCTTTTGATTTTTTTGGTGCTTTTTAGGTGACATCTCCATATGGGAACACACTTCATCACAGAGAAAATGTGACTCATGGTCAATTTGCATTCACTACCCAAGAGGCCGGGAACTACCTGGCATGTTTTTGGGCTGATGGTCACAACCATGGGGCTGGGGATATAAGCATTAACATTGACTGGAAAACTGGTATTGCAGCTAAGGATTGGGATTCAGTTGCCAAGAAAGAGAAGATTGAGGTAAGGGCCTTGTGTAGTTTTTTCTGTTTTATAATTTAACATGTGGGAAATATGTTAGTCCTTGTCCCAGTGAAGAAATAAATCAAGCTTGAACTCTAAAAGTTTTACAGGTTTCTATTTGCATCAAAAACTTCAATGAACTTCCATTATCTGTGAATTAGTGTCTATTCGCTAAAATTAGCGAACTAATACCTCATTTGATTTTAGTTTGGATGAGATCTTCCCTTCATACTGATTTTTTTTTCTGAGACATACCACTAATGCAGATTTAACATACCACAAGCAAGTTTGGATGTGGAAAATGCTGGCTTGTGGGCTTAAATGCAATATTTGATCATTTTGGAGTTTAGGAATATCTTAAGATTGCTTAAATATAAAGTAAGACCAGAAGTCATAGCTTCTTTTTTCAAAAAAGAGAAGTTATAATTTAAGCTTTTGGTGGCAGTTCCCAAAAGAATGATTAGGACCTAGCACGTTTATGATGGCAAGAAAAAAGAATCCCACATCATCCTGCCTGTTTTATTTATGACTGAATTATGTCCTTTTGTATTGCCTAAATGTAGGGTGTTGAGCTTGAACTGAGGAAACTTGAAGGAGCTGTAGAGGCCATTCATGAAAATTTACTTTATCTCAAAACCAGGTAAAATATTCCCATAGATAGAACATCTGAAAATATTTCCACTTTTTCTTTGAATTAATCTAATGGCTATACTTTTTGCCTTTTGCTTTTCTTTTTTCTCTTGAAGAGAAGCGGAGATGAGGACCGTGAGTGAGAAAACAAATGCCAGAGTAGCATGGTTTAGTATCATGTCTCTGGGCATCTGCATTGTGGTTTCAGTTGTACAGATCCTGTACTTGAAGCGATTTTTCCAAAAGAAGAAGCTTATCTAGGTTGCTAGCAGTTAAAATTATGATTATTAGTTAAAAGAACAGATAGTTGGAAAAAAATCGAGTACTTTCTTTTTCTTTTTTCTTTTTTTAACTTTTTGATTACATATCGCATGCCACGACAAGAATTTTTGATACAGTTAACAGAAAACCCAGCACATTCATGCCAATCAAGAAAAAGTTTATGTTCAGTTTTTTGTTTTCTATGGCTTCCCCAAAGGGGCTATGCATGCAGTGTCTGGGCCTCTATATGCTTGGTGGTGTGAAGAGGAAGAGAAGTAAACCGAATACCTTAGGCGATTCAGTTAGTAACTGAATCTTCGATACTTGATAAAATCTTATTCAACACTTTTGTTCATTGAACTCAGTTTTGATATGCACATGCTCCCGCTGATTTTGCCTGCTTATAGTTGCTGCATCTGGGGATTGACAATGTCCGGAAAAATGGCAAATGTTAATAAGCTCTTAAGGAAATATTTGTTAAATTTGTTTTTAAAATTTAGCATTTGTTATAATTTAGTTTTTAATTATTTTTATTATAATTTAATATTTAGTCTTGTGTATTTCAATTTTTTATAATGAAAAAAAATTTAAGTAATTATACTATATTTGGATGTTTTAAAAAACATATGTTAATTAATTAATTAAGTTAATAATATTATTATTTATGTTGTTGTTAATTTACTAGTTTATAATTAGTTAAAATCATCAAGACATCGTATCTATTTAGCATCTACAAATACTATAAGGTTAGTTATGTCATGCGGTCACATTGCATAATAAACATCTCTAGGTCATATTGTTTGGAATCATATCATAGATATAATTCTATTATAAATTCAAAAAAAAAAATAAAAAATTGGATACTAAATTCCCATAATTTCTGAAACATCTAAAAAGGTGGGTTAATTCTATCTTTTCATTTGTGTTAATTGTTTTTAATTATTAATGTCTAAATAATTCAAAATAAATATAAAGAATATATTTATCTATATTTCAAAATATTGTTTAATCATATAAACTTAAGATTATATTTATCTGTTAATTAATTATACTTAAATTAAGTTTGTAATTTTAAACTCCTTGAAATAAAATTTTTATAAAAATATATTTTTTTGTTTTTTTTTTTTTTTTAGTGGGTAAAAAAAAGTATTAGCTAATATTACATTAAACATCACTTTCAAACTATTTTAGAATGTTGATGAAAAATATACATGTAATCACGTGTTCTAATAGAAAAGCATATAGTTCATGTGGCTTCTTAGATGAAATTTTCAACTCAATTTTATACATGTATAAATAAATTAGATGCACACATCTCATCTATCTTACATTTTATTTGTAGCTAAATAATAAAAATACAGTAATCAACAAAATTCATTGACCAAGATTCTTATCAGTAATATAATTTCTCAGGATTATTAACTGCAAAAACCAGAAAGCTGAGGGAATTAAAAAGCATTGTTACTGAGGGGAAATGATTTGACTTAACAATGTTCAGAATTCTCATCAAATTAACCGTCAAAAATGTTAAGAGCAATGAACAAGAAAATGTGAATGGAAATTTGGTTAAATGACAGGGAGAGAAAGAGCTCCCATCTCATCTTTTTTATTCTATTCGAACTATCTTGCTATTCATGTACCTAAACCTGCAGATTTCGTCAAAGAAATCGTCTGAACTGCTATGGCTGCTTTTCATTTGAAGAATCCTTATTATCATTGCCTTCAAATTCTTCCCGTACTTCAACAGTGATTCGAGCGTGCTCATTTTCTGTTCAGCATTTAATGGCGATCTCACCGTGATCACTACCTCTTCTAGACATGGAATCAAAAACCCTGGTTCCACCTGAAGGAAGAGAGAGTTTAGTGCTGTTATATGTTAAATCCTGAAAGCATGATTAGTGCAGAAAAACAAGGGTCCATGAAGATTTTATCAACTCACTTTCTTCAGGCTGTTCTTTTGGCAAAGAGCAGCAAACATGGCTCCATGGACGTCAAATTTTTGAAGCTTGGGATGGCTGTTAAAGAATTGGACAAAGTCAACCTCTGGGAAAGGTAAAAGGGCTTCAAAATCTCCAGTGAATTCAACCTTCATGTATAGGTGCTTCACTTCACTTGCCCATTCAAGCATTTTGCTTATTGCATCCCAACACCATTGGACCCCCCTGATTGACAAAAACTCAAGAGCTGCAAGCTTCCCAAAATCCACCATGTACACTCTTCCTACAAGCATTACAGGAACAAAGAAATCACTCAGTCATACGCATATTTTATCGGTCAGAAAAGGTTTTTAAAATAAATTTTAGATGAGTAACAGATAATGCAAACAAGACTACAAGAATTACCAGTATTATTGGAAACTGATAGATTCTTCAAAAAGTTAGTTTCACGAACTCGAATCCAACTGCAACCCTGCACCTCAAGGGATGCAATTTTCGGACAAGTGAGAGACAGTGAAGAGTTGCCCAAGCCATAAAAGTCCAGTTTACACTCCTCCAAAAATGGCATCTGAATAGAAAAGGATCTAACTCCTTCACAACCAAGCAACAGCAACTTTGTTAAATTAGGACAGGCAAGAAGCGCAGTAGACAAGGCATTGTCTTCCAATTTTGCACCAACTATTTCAAGGTTTTTAAGGTTAGGGAAAACATCCCATTTGGGCGAATTAACCATCAGCACACCCCAGAGCTTTAATGACTCTAAATTCTTTGCTGTGCTAAGGCAATCCAACTTTGAAGGTCTCTCAAGACAGGCTTGATAGTCAGCAAGATTGTCCATTCTAAGCTCAAGTTTCTTAAGGGATAAACCTGTGAGCAGTAGCCATGAAGCAAGGCCTGCACTTGTGAACGGGCTGTACACAACGAGCTCCTCTAAATAAGCAATAGACGAAACCATCTCCATGACAATGTTATCAGTACCATCACTGCCCGAGTGCTTATCGAAAGAGTTGCGAGGAAAGTAGAGGCTTCTAATGAAAGGCATTGATTCCTTCCACCGTTTGGATACAGTATTACAAACTGCTACATCCCGTGCATTGTTGATGTGTGACAATATATACTGAACAATGGCATCCGGGAGTGAGTCCATTCTCTGAGGACAACAATCAAACAGGTGCGAGTCAATTTAACAATTGTGCATAACAGACACTTCTTACAAATCCACGCGTAATGCCGAGGACAGTGCTTTATAAATAATGTTAGATTAGACTTTTGTGACCAAGTGTTGACATCAAAACTAAGAATTTTTCCTGAGAAAATATGGATAAGGGAGTAAAGATTTGTGGGTCAATTTTTTCAATCTTCAGTATTAGGAATGAATGACTCATTATGTTACTCGATAAAGCCTACTACCATTTGAAGGTAACCTTTCACTGAGTTCAGTGAAACAAAAATAGAGGAAGTTAATGTAGTGTCTCGAACATATTATCAAATGGTAGGTTGAAATTTTTAAACTGTAAAGTGAAACATTTTCTTACAAGAAACTAGTGAAGTAAAAGATGCAATAAGATAACTAGAAATCTATTATCAAATCTAAACCCAACTAGAGAATAGACAGCTGTTCATGTGAAAACATACTACATATGTGCATATATAAACAATGGAGAATATGTCCAAATTGCACGTAAAATTTTTTTTTTTAACAAAGAAGAAAATCTTACTACATCAGAAAGGAAAGAATGAGTCAAAACAATTAGTATACTCAAGCTCAAAATCAGAAACTCCTCGAAGGCTAATCTCCTCATTACCAAAAAAGTAAAATACAGACGATAAACTGATACTTCCATGAACATAATTTCTCCTCCAAAAACAACGGAACACTTTATTGCAACGTTAAAATAAAAACTTACGAATCAAGACATCAAATTGACAATCAATTCCCGATGAACACCCATTTGCAATTAAGAAGCTAAGATCTATGCGTATTAATTGAACAAAAAGGGAGTCATTAAATAAACGAAGCCGACCAAGCGTAATTAAGATCAAGACAAAATCTTCAGCATTACAAGCTGAACCAACATTCTAATAAAGAAATCAAACGAGATTTACATGCTGAAAAATGAAAATAAGAAACAAAATTTTGAAA